GCACAGCATAGATTATGGAAGATCATCTGTGTCAGAACTGATTGAAAGAACATGAGACTGAAGGCTGTGGACAGGCCACATAGCATGGACTATAAGAAGAAAATTACAGTTAATGATGTTATAATACTGTAAGATGTATATGTTTTAAATCCACCACAAATTTGTTTATATGGGTGTATGTGTTTGTCCGTCTATCTGTGTGTCTAACCTGTGGCTGTATATATGTGTGTATGTATGACTATTTAAATTTGCTGTCCAAGTGCATGTTTTTTTGTGTTTGTATGTGTGCTCATGTTTTTTTCTCTGAATACACATGTATGTATGTTTGCCTGTGTGTGTTTGTAAGGTTGTGCGTGCCTGCACATCTATCTGTATTATGCCTGTGTAAATGTATGTATTTTAGTAGGAATTCATGTATTTACATTTGCACATGTGTGTGGTGTATATGTATGAAAATATGTAATCCACATAAAATGTTTATTATATATTTGTATAACATTCAGAAACATTTCACGTTTTCAGGCTCCTTTAAGTCAGCTCCACCCATTTACGCACTAGGTCACTTTTCATTCATACTTTGTTAGCCTTGTCGAATTTGCTGAAGGTTACAGGGGTGTCCCAGTGTACTGTCTTGTTCGAAAAGCTTTCTGTGTTCTCTTCACCGGCCGGTGATATCGCGTGTTGTATGTTCCGGGATATCAATGCTTTTAACAGTCCTAAAACATGCTGAACTGGCCCTAACACAAACTCCCCTTTGAGAATGCTGCAGCCTACATCACATGCATTTTCTTTCTCAGAGTGAAAACATAAGTAGAAAACAACACAGAAAGCTTTTTGAGCAGTACACTGGGACATCCCTGTAATCTTTAGCAAAGTTCATGAGCCTGACCAAGCACTAATCGAAAGTGACCTAGTGTGTGTAAACGGGCGGAGCTGACCAAGATGGGTCTGAAAACCTGAAGTGTTCCAACATTCACATTTTTGTTTACTAAATTAAATTACTTTGCCTAATTTTAAAAAAAAATATTAGTTTATGGATGATAAGGGGTTCAAAAATTGGAAATGCAAAATGGGCCTACAAACTCAGTTTGTGACTTTTGGAAAATAAAGTTTGCATATTGATTCATTCTTCAGTTTTAAATAAATCTGAACCTATGAATTTTATGTATACATGTGTATTGTAGCTATTTTGTTAACTGGATGACTTCTTTCTCATGTCTTCATAATCTGTCCTTTTAGTATTTTCACTAACATTCTTCCACATCACATATGACCAGCATAGGGGATTGAATTGCCCACACAGTTTTATCTCGAACCCTCCCCAGTTATGGTCCTTGAAACCCCTCAGGGGGGGCATTTTATTTCCCTGGCCCATGAGTCTCGGCAGTCTGCTGAGAAGTCATCGACCCGGCTGCTTCAATATACCAGCTAAGTGATTGTGTGTATTTGTGTGGTATTGTTTGATTTTTGTATGTGCTGATGAAGGCTCTATAGCCGCAAAGTTCACGTTTTGTTTGTATTTGTTATATTGTGAAGCTTGCTAATATAATTTTACTAATATACTTATCGAGGTGATGACATCATGCAGCGTCTGCAGGACTGACTGAATACAGCAGTTGGCCAAACATTCTTTGCGGCTGTTTCAGTAGTGAGGTACAAGATCACTCCTATCCCAACCCCACATATTAAACAGCTCCTTTCTCCGTACACCAGATCTTATTGTATTTACCAATTTACATGTAAGTGCCAGTTGACTTCATCGGTCGAATGGAGAGAAAGCTTGGAAATAGAGTGGCAGAGCACATACCCACACAGCTCAGTGATCCTTCTAGGGTGTCGAGACCAGTCAAGAGGAATTAACCCGCTTCTTCCATAGGACGTCATCTACTTAATTCCGGACACATAATTGACACAGACACTGATTTCCGTGTGGTTTACCACACTCCGAACAGGAGACTTTTGAGAATCGCTGAAGCCATAACAATAAAAATCAACAACCCCCTCATTTGTAAGCAGATGGAATTTATCGTGCATTTGAAGTTATCCTGGTAAGTCACGTGACTACAGTGAGCTTCCGGCAGCCATGAAACAGAGACAATGTATCGAAGAAACTATTCGCATTTCAGTTGAATTTATTCAGGTTTGTGCTTTATTTTATGTTGATGTAACTCTGTAGTAACGCACCTGATGAGATACAGCGAAATATGCCTGGCAATAAATTGTGCAATATATTGATTGTATCAGCATTATTTAAATTCATAACAGGAAAACATTGTTTTAATATACTTTTCGTTCAGTTTTATATCTTTTCTTGATAATTAAAAATTAGGAATGGCAAAAGTAGGGGTGCTATCTTCAAAATGTCATTATTATGTCACGTGTCTAATACTCTTGACATCCTTAATAACATTTAGCTGATAGGTTCAGGTTCTGTTCCAGGGTCCGTCTCTTCCTTTCGGATCACTTGTAGGTAACTGGTACACTCAGTCTGAGATCAGATTGTAGACTGGCATTAGGTAACGGCCTATGGGTTCAGGATCTGTTCCAGGGTCCATCTCTTCCTTCGGATCACTTGTAAGTAACTGGTACACTCAGTCTGAGATCAGATTGTAGACTGGCATTAGCCTATGGGTTCAGGATCTGTTCCAGGGTCCGTCTCTTCCTTTCGGATCACTTGTAGGTAACTGGTACACTCAGTCTGAGATCAGATTGTAGACTGGCATTAGCCTATGGGTTCAGAATCCAGTTTGTAATATTATACAGTTGAATCCAAATTATTATTTTGATTATTTTTATCTAATAATATCTCATTTGAAAACAATTGTCTGAGGAAACTGATGAACGTAAAATGGGATGAATTCAAAAGGAGTGAAGTAATAAGAGAAATATCTGGGCAACCACTAGTATCAACAGTTATCAGACAGAGAAGATGGCACCACATTGGACACACGCTGAGAAGAAACCAGCAGAGAATTACCAAACAGGCATTAAAATGGGAAATAAAGGGATTAAGGAAGCGAGGACACCCGAAAGAAACCCTAAGATGAATGATGGTGAGAGAGGCCAAAGCTGCTTGACTGGATTCCATCCATGATATTGAACTGATTGTATAGGATAGAACAGAATGGAGGAATAGACTGTGAGCCATATGTTGTGCACATTAGGAGTAGTATAAATGTTAATGACAACAGATAATCTTGATGGAAACATCAGGTAAGGAGAAGACAAAAAGGTAGTGTGTTAGAAAGAATCTGTCTTTTGGATTAGTAAAATTATAAACAAATGGTTTATGATTTGTGGAGATGTCTGTAACATGAAGGTAAAACAATCAAGCTGAGATGAAACTTCATTAATAATAATTAAAAATTTGTTAAATGAGTTTGTGAATTTGTATATGGCTCTGAAACTTGGAGCACAACTAAAAGAGATAAAGCCTTATTACAGGTTTTCGAAAACATTCTTACGACGAATCTTTGAACCCAACAAAAATGCAAACAGCAGGGAATGGAGAGTGAGAAGCAACAAAAAATTCATAATCTGTTTAAATCACCATTGATCACTGGCATCATGAGAGCTAATAGACTGAAATGGTTGGGGCATATTGAAAGAATGTCAGATGAGAGAGAAGTAAAAACAGTATCCACAAGGGAGATGAATGGTCATAGACCACGAGGCAAACCAAGAAGACCATGGAGTCATAATGTCCAGATTGACCTGTGACCAACTGGATAGAGAAGGCCAACCAGAGAAATGAATGGGGGCGGGTGATATCTGCAGCAATGAACCTCAAGTGCTCGGAATGCTGAAGAAGAAGAAGTTTGTGAATTCCCAAAAGCAGTGGTTTGAAGATTGTTTAGAAATGTTAATGGAATAATTTAAAATAATAAAACAATTTAAATGTTACATAAAATTATGTTTATTTTTTCTAACAAAAAAAAACACATTAATTCTAAAAGACATTCATTGAGAAAAAAAATTGACATGTTGCAGGAATTTTGGAAAAGGCTAAGTAAATTATGGCTCGCTTTCACTGGCTTCCCTTTTTGTTTCCACTCACATATGCATGCAAAGACGCGCATACACACACACACATTCTCTCTCTCTTTCTCTCTCTCTCTCTCATGCTAAAATGAGAGAAAAATCACTGAAAAATGACAAACTGATTACCGTTAAGTCCAAATATACATTTATATGGGATAAGTGCTACAATGCTTATTGGTATATCTCTGACAGAAATTTAACTTCTATTTCAGTTGTATCTTTTATATCAGACAGTATTTTTTATTTCTATAATATTTGCAGTAAGAAAAAAAGGATGTTAACGGGTTAAGTAGAACCTGTGTTGTTATATGCATGTGAAACGTGGGCAATAAGCAGACATGCTGAAATAATGTACCCGCAGCAGAGATGTGGTTTTAGAGAAGAATGTAAAGAATATCATGAAAGGATAGAAAAACAAACAAAGCTCTCCCCCATTGTGTACTTTCATATTCAAAGACTCAGTTATATACTGTGCCCATCTTCGGGTTGGTCGGCTCCTGCCTCTCCTTCCTGGTACCATGTCCTTTACTTTGTAGAATTAAGATTAGTTTTATGATGGATAAAAGAAAGAGTGGTCCTCATCACTTGTGATAAACGAACAACATATGAAGAACAACATAAATAATCATTAAAGATATGTACTTTTTGTACAATGCCTGATTTTTATAAAAGTGAACAGTCACATAAAAATTGACATAGCTACCCAGCATTGCTGTGGGAGATAACATTTTCTCATATGATGAAAAGAAAAAGGTAAAAGACACGAAAAACCAATATTAAATAAAATGACTTGTCCAGGTTTGCCTTAGAAAGTATCATTCACTGCTAACTTTGTGACTGTTTTCTTTTGCAATTTGGTATAGTCCTCATCATCATCAATTCACTTTATGCCAGTTTGGTCTAGGCAGAGGAAGCAAATTATTTTTTGGATAGTTGTTACCTGATAGAATCACCTTAATTTAAAACGGAAAGACTGGTTTGGTGGGTAAGGCCCTATTTATGTTGGCCTCAGCTTGCCGTTTAGAGTCCTCCTCTGATCTAGCATAAGGCCGAGAGAGATTGTCTTTCTTTAGCGTGACCCCAAACCCAGGACGATCTGGCAAGTCTATAAATCCATTTTCTGGAAGCGGTTCATCGGGAAAGAGACCTCCAAAATAAGGCACAATGGTGTCCGACTTGGCACTCATATTGATGTATTCAGCCAGGGGGCAGTTCTGGAAGGCATACTGCAGGTGGTATGAGTAGACACTAGAGCCATGAGGGATAACCAGAGTATCGTATGCTGAAGCCATTGCCACGACTCTCCTGGCTTCTGTAAGGCCTCCAAGCCAAGTGATATCTGGCTGTATGATGTCAACACATCGAGACTCCAGCAGCTGTTGAAAGCCATAGCGGGTATATTCGTGCTCTCCTGTAGTCAGCAAGACGTTAGATCCTCGCAGGTTTTTTCTGACTTGCTTATAACCATCATAGTTATCAGGAGGCAAAAATTCTTCTATCCATTTCAGCCCATAAGGTTCAAGCTCCCGAGCGAGTCTTGAAGCATAGGGCACACTCAGAGCCATGTAGCAGTCTAGGCTTAGTGGAAAGTTCGGCCCGACCTTCTCCCTCCATCCTTTGAAAAACTCGATGTTTTTCCTCAGGCCTTCGTCCCCTTCACTGGGTCCATGACAGCAGGCGATCTTGGCACCAACAAAACCTAGTTTTTGAGCAATGTCGGGTCTTCCTGTTGTTGAATAAACCGGTAGCCTATCTTTGGTTTTCCCACCTGTAGAATACATAGTATATCATATTTTCACTCACCCTACGTGAAAAACTTTTATCAGTAATATCTTAGATAACCAAAAATACACTGCTGCTTAAATATAAATGTTTATAAACATCATATTTTCCCTCAAGTACTGAGATGGATTCATGGAAACAGGACGCCATGGGTCGTATTGCATAGAGGTAGGAAATTAGGAAGGCAATAGAACATTGCAGAAAAGTGAGCTGAGCGTCTGATAAAACACATGTTAAATACATGTGGTGGCGATAGTCTTCCTGAAATCTCACGAACTTTTGTCAACAATCCTTTGTAACGTGATCTGGTTTCGCTAGTCATACTTACCGTGAGTTGTAATTCTCATGCTTTCCTGTGGAACATTATCGTTTGGAAAGAGGGAAAGGTGCCAACTGTTAATAATTATCCATGAGGTTGTAGTCTTGACAATTTAAAAACCCAAACCCGCAGATGAACTATTACTAATCAAGGCCTAATTGTAGCTAGTTAATTGTGTGGAATCACGAAAGAAATATCTAAATTTTCATTTCTTATTCTCGAAGCTCCACTTCTAACCTGATGAGCTTGAAATTAACGAAGAACTTGATATCGCTACAAATGGGCCATTCCTGCACTGGCGCTGCCCACTTTTGTGAGTAATGCTGGTAAAGGACTTTTTCATGCAATAGGCGTATAGGGCATATAATGCTGGACGCATATTTTTACAGACCAATCTTTACTCGACTAGTGACGTCGTCGGCCGCCTTTATTTCGTAGGACATTACCTGGTACCTATTTAAGGCAGTGTCGACCAGGTAGCCAAAGTCAGTCTTTAAAGGAAACAAAAAACCCGCCATAATGCGGATTTGATCTTTAGACCTTTTTGTCGACACGCTGCTATACTACTACCCCAGGTCCGCCATTTGTAAGTAAAGTGGTATTCGAACCCATGATCTTCGGACCGAGAACCAAACGTCTAATCAGAATACTACCACGGCTCATTTCCCCCTTTCCTTTTTCATGTTGACTGGGTTGTTCGAAAACTGTTGCTCGTCCGTTAAGTTGAGTTTCGCAGTCAGAGTTTTGTCTTGTATTTTTTACTCCGCTGATAAAGACTTTGGTCGAAACGTTCAGCTGTTTTTATGCGCTTTTTTTCTATTCCCTCCTATGAGCTTTCTAGTCACATTTTATGTTGTATTTCACGCCCATTTGCGTTAACCTACAAACTGCATAAGTTTTAGGCACTAGTTGCAAGCTATGTCTATCCTTTCCTGAAGGTGAAGGTCATGGGTTCGGCTGCGCACTTCAGTTCACGAGAGCAATTTTTTATGGAGATCCATGGGGATCGTCGCATGAGTTATGGAGTTCGTGTACTGCGCGGCGCTCTCGGCAGGCGGCTAGCCGTTCTGCAAAGAGAGACCGTTCCGTATTTGAGAAAACCCGGTGCAATGAAGTCGATCCTCTCGACTTAAACCATTAACCTTGAACTTTCTTTGCATTACCTTGACCCTCTACTTACATTTATTTAACCCAACATCGCCAGATGTTGTGCTGCATTATCCGCCTGATTGCAAGACCATTCACCACATCCCCAGTATATCAGTTTGCTGTATAATTTATAGCTGTTTCAGTTATTTATGATATTCTCACAAACATATATTTACCCAGAAGGGCATACACCGGTTCATTCCTCAACTTTCCGAGAAGATCCCAGAGCGCCAAATCCACGGCACTTATCGCCTGCAACAAATTAAATATATCTTTACTTTTTTCACAAGAACAAATAAGTATTTATTGAATTATTTATATCTACAATAACTAGGAGATTAGCTGTACTGTATATCTGCCGCCTTCACAAGAAAGGTTGTATCCAGTGTTAGTTCCTGACTGTAGTTACCACGTTTAAGGTGGTCTTTGAGCCTGGGGATACACGACCCTATGGTTATTGCAATCGCCACGGACTGTACAGGTTAAGATTTTATTGTTGCCTTCGACAGAAAACAACAATTCCTGACCTTACCAAGGATTATAATACGAGGTCTTTCGCATGAGAGCGGAGCGTTCTTAACCATGTACCCACTGTATCAACTGCTGCCACGAAACTGTTAAACACATTCACTAAACTCTAACTAACACTTCCCTAACCTGATACCACAAAGCATCACTATCGAAATAATCAAGGAACGACAGGATATATTCTCTGAAGCAGTATTGTCGCCATAGTTACCTGGATAGGCAGTCCCTTACGTCCATAGTTAATGGTGGCGCGGAACATCTGGTCCCATATCAGCTCAACATTTCTGGGGTCCTGACCTTCAACAAACCTGCTGAGATGCTTTTCCACAATGTAACAGCCAGGTTCACCGCCGATTGTCACCCCTACACCCACAGTTCCGTCTTCTGCTTCTATCTGCAAATTAAAATAAAACATTCGTGTAATGTTATAACAAGGACAAGCCTTATCTTCAAAACTGCATCAATGTTCATTTTTTTCCCCTTCCTTCCATTTCCCCCATCAGATTGCCACCCGAATATTTGACCACTCTATCTACAACTTCGAAAAGACATCTGGCCTCTAGAGCAAAGTGTGCAGAGCAAGCTATGGGGAACCATGAAGGCCCTGCTACTGACACGCAAGTTCATAGAGGCAACTCATCTGATGGTCTAAACTGAACATTCAAAATCAAACGCAAAGAAGAAGAAAAAGGTTCACCTTTCTCGGATATCTCATTTGTGAGAGCGCATTGCCAAGAGTACTCACATGGGGTGAGATCTGGCGAATGACCCCGCTGCGACTGAGCTTTATCGTTCGTTCGGCGTACGATGTATTACCGTCCGGTGTTAATATGGTTAAATGGTCTGCGACTAACGATCCGACTTGCCCGTTGTGCAAAGCGAAGCAAACTCTTGAGCACGTCCTGTCCGCGTGCAGGAAAGCCCTAGGTCAAGGCCGATACACCTGGTGACACAACAAGGTGCTAAAAGAGTTAGCAGCCGTTGTTGCCCAGGCTAGAATGAGGGCCAACGCAAGGGCCAGTTCTAGCATCGTCCCCATTCGTTTCCTCAAGGCTGGGCAGGTTCAAAAAGGTAAGGTCAACCGAAACGCATTCGCTCCATCTGTGCTAGACTCTGCGAGGGACTGGTTACTGGCGGTTGATCTGCCAGGCCATGAACGGTACCCCGACTTAATCCGGAAGACCAGTCTGCGACCTGACAAAGTCCTCCACTCTGCGCAAAAACGGCAGCTCATCCTGATAGAGTTGACCGTCCCGTATGAATCGCGTATGGATGAAAATCACCTGTATACGCTCGAGAAATACAGTGATTTAGCAGCCGGTCTGAGGAGAAACGAGGAGTACACGGTACGGGTATTTGCCGTCGAAGTGGGAGCGAGAGGCCTCGTTTCCACTTAGCTCTACAATGTGGTTAAAGAACTAGGATTGCGCGGTAATGAACGGAAACGTACACTTAAAAAACTGGGCGAGGCAGCCGAAAGGGCCTCGAGCTGGCTTTGGACGCAACGTAACAACGTAGGGGACGGGCCTCAGTGAGCTGGTCCGGGTCTCTAGTGGAAAAGGGTTTCTCATCCTTTGAAAGTCCATCGTGTCCGAATTGTCTGCCAGTGTTCCTCTGACACCTGCTAACAAAAGTCCAACATGTGTCCGGTAAACCAAACGTAAGCTTGTCGCTCGGTCGTCCAGGCACGCTGACTGTTCTAATTAGGCTGCCGCAACGACTTCTTATCTCACAGTACCTTCTGCGAAACCACCAACTCGTCTTGTCTCTATCCGAAAGAAAAACACCATCCGGTAATCTCGTGCAGCAGGGAATCAGCCCTGAGCTTCATGAACTCAGGTGGGCCCACCTCCGAAAGCGTCTATGAATCGTGGGCCGAAACGCTCGTTGACGAGGATAATTTCTACTGATGACTGGTAGATCCCTGCTGTACTTGCTCCCTGTGAGTTTATTCCTATTGTGAGGCATGAAGCTGGCTTTTGTGAGCTGTTGTCATTGCCCATGACTCACACCCGAAGGTCGCCGATTCTTCCAGTCGTTATATCAGTGGCAAGGCATGCATATAACTGTTGTATTTGCCGTTTACATAATTATTTTTTTTTAAATTTATTATTACGGGTTACTGTTTGTTTTAAATACGTCCCTTGATTTACATCTCTAAAATAGTTAAAATGACAATCGCTTCTTGCTAACGCCACTCATACAGCAACTATAACGTGGGAAAACTTTCAGTTACTATTACAACAGTGTTAGCTGCACACACATACTCAATCAACAGAGAAGTGACCAAAAGAAAAAAATCACTTAATACCGTTCCCAATGTAATCGTTACCTGCTAACCCTTACACATGCGAGCTGATCACGGCTCACCGCTGCGTTATATCTTGTGCATTCTTTTTTTTTCGATATCCTGAAAGAAATGATGTTCACCACCGATGGTCTCTCTCTCTCTCTCTCTCTCTCTCTCTCTCTCTCTCTCTCTCTCTCTCTATGTGTGTGTGTGTGTGGTGTGTGTGTGTGTGTGTCTTGCGGTTTCTTTTAGTGCTCCTCGCTTCATACTTCTATTTAACACTACAATACACAATACATGTAGATTATGCATGTACTTACTTCAACAGCCAGCGTTCCTAGAACATTGATGCCCCATGACTTTCTAGTCCCGGCATACTGTGGGTGAAAACCCATTGGTGTTGCTATGGGAGCCAGCCCACAGTTGAGCCAATGGTTGTCTTGGACATCATGGCAGTCGGCACCCTGGTCTCCTCCTGAGCCCTGCTGGCACAGGGCGCGTACGCTCTTGATCTTGGGGAATTGCCTGGTGCCCATTTGTGTGTTCTGATGAAAGGTGTTCGTACTCGAGCTCTGGGTTAAAAATAAATAAATATGAATGCACCATGTAGCAGGTCCTTTGCATCGCAGTCACCACATTCTGCCTGAAAGAAACTCGGTCTCATGCCAGATCTCCTATCTCGTACACTGTCACGCCTAAGATTATTACCATATCATGTGCTCATTCTGGTACACCATGTGGCGTCTGTCCCTCTTTCCTCGCACCATACCTCCTGCTACTATTCTTTCTAATCGGGCGTGGAGCTTGATATGTTTAAAATATTTCAATTTCCAAGGCAAGATGCTGTTTACTAGATAATCTTCTTTAATGTGAGCCAGTGTTTTAAAATGTCAGTATTTCTTTTGTTGGTACTTAACACTGAATTCATCTCACCTCGCTCGCTCGCGAGATCTCATGGCTGTTTCCACGGACCGCTTTATGTTCTAGGGATGTCAAGTATTGCTTATTTTGAAGGTTTTGAACACACCCGTCACCGACGACAGCCACAGCCAACGGGCGAAAAATACAAAACATTAATGATTTGATAGTTACGAACCATCGCGCCTTCGGCGCTTTCTTCGCCTGCGGCTGCTGAGCTACTGATAACAACAACACATTCCATAAGCTCATAAACAATACTCGTTGACACAAGAGACAGTAGCGAAGCAAAGTTGTGCAGATGCGACAGTGTGTCGACCTTGTGGAACGAACGCGTCACTTTTTGCCAGGCTGTGTGTAGACAGCGGAGAGAAGCATCCCATAACACCACTAAAGATAGGGCAGCCCGTGGGAACGGCCATGAGATCTCGACCGCGAGTGAGATGGGGTGAATTCCGTGGTTAGTATCCCTTTTTTTCTTAGTCCACGGTATTCTAAGAATCTTTCTATAGCCTTTTAGCTTTAAACCTCATATTTTTTCTTCAACAGCACATATAAATGCATTTATCATTATAACGTTTTCTGTAACATAATAATAGAGCACAAAAAAGGTAGTCCCATAGCAGATAATCTATGCTGGGAAGCTTTAGGCCTTCACATATTCTATGCCACTTCACATAGGGAGGGATCCCAATCAAAGTTAGGGAACTACCGAAGACATGGTACGAAAGTTAAATGTGTTAAACAAATGCTCTGGTGGGGGTTCCACGACTCTAATGTGTGTGTGTGTGTGTGTGTGGGGGGGGGGGGAGAACAAGGATAGACCACTGCCTCCTCAACAATCCCGTCAGAAGAGTCGATTAACTGTGGGGGGGGGGGGGTGTGAAGCTTCATTCGAAGTCGGAGCGCATCTGCCTGGGAGACAAGGAACCAACAATCTGCTTATATATATATATATATATATATATATATATATATATATATATATATATATATATATATATATTATATATATATATATATATATATATATATATATAAGTCAGATCTGTAAAAACGGATGTGCACGAAACACTCAAGGTCTGGAATAAAATTAAATCCACAGGTGGACGAACAACCCGAACTTTCCACTTGGAGTTTACAGCTCGTGAACGAGAAGAAGAAGAAAAAGAAGCCACATGCCTAAAGAAACTGGTGAACAATACATTTGATTAATTCAAGGAAAAAGAAGAAATAGCAGAAAAGTCTGACAACCGTTAGTATCAAATGTTATAATAAACATGAGATAGCTAAATAATGGACACATCAAGAGAACTAAACAGTCCAATTTACATTTCTCTTTACCTTTGACTTCTCTTTTCTTATAACCACTATACTACAGTTTGTCTACATCTTTTTTTACCTATGAGATTTGTTTTCTTATGTTCTTGATAAATTTTCTTTTACCTGCGTGTCTTTTGAAAAACACTGATTCCACATTTTCTAGTTAGCTCTGGGGGCCGCGTTAGCGCAGTCGATAAGAGACTGGCTTTCAAATCCGGCTGCGACTCGCTTAAGCACACGGTCGGTGTTCGAAACTAGGCGGTTCCCGGAGTTTACCCAGCCTCTAGGAAATGGGTACCATAGTTAATACTCTGGTGTAAATGGAGGAACGTCGCTGTAGCTACGGAGCTGCGTGCGGATGGTGATTTCAGGCGGAAAGTTTCTTATAAGCTGTCCAACTGGTGACAGAGCACATATGGTTTAAAACCGGGTACAGTTACGCTGGTTCACATCTTCCGACTTTACCTTTTTATTCCAGTAAGCTCTTTGTTTTATTCAACCCTCCTGTCTGTAGTATTCGTAATGTACGAACTAAACGAGGCATGACATGTAAATAAAAGATCAATACATTATCACGCATTCTTTATACCCACCCTGACGTTACAACGAGTTATAATTAAAAAAAGACAACTCCAAGTTAGTAAACAAGCTTAATTAGCAATAGAATCACACAAATAAGTCATCATTTAAGAGCAAATGCGTTAAAAAACAAGAGTAGCTGTGAATAACCTCGCGATAAGTCTCACACTCGCCTATACGCAAGTATATTAGTGGGTCACAGTACTGAGCGGGAACGCCGGAACATGGTAGTCTCAAACACTATGAGCACCCCTCTCACAAAACAGAACTGGGCTATCCTCCGAATAACGGTCCCAAATTATCAAGGCTAAGAAAATACCTTAACGGGGCCTCAGTCATGTGTAAATTGCGGACCTCTTTCCGGCAACTACACCGTATACCGCGGAAAAGCTTCCGCCGAGTAAAAATCACCGCCGAGAGTTTCCCCTACGCTGGCTGGGACTCACGAGCAGCAGCTACCACATCTCCTGCAGCTTCCTCCATTGTATTTGCTTGTGAGTTCCAGCCATCTAGTTTAGCCCTGCTCCGCGCCACCCGTAGCGGGGTGGAAGATACTCTCGAAGGTGGCGGTATAGTCGCCGGAAAGGTCGGCAATTTACACATGACTGAGGCCCTGTTAGGGTATTTTTCTTAGCCTCGATAATTTTGGACTGTTATTCGGAGGATAGCTTGTTGAAAATTGGGGAGTGGGGGAATAATAAAAAATTATAATCAGCGCTGATTCCCCGCAGAGAATCATGGAAAGTTCATTGTTCATTTTCTGTTCCAGAAATCATGCTGAACTCAGTAACCGTTCTGGGAAAGTTGTTGAAATTTGGCATGCAGTCTTTAAAAAAAACATGTCCTTGTACTTTAAAAAAAATGTAAACAAACATCTAGTTTTCATTTTGCCCTACTAAAACAGGCACATGTTCAAAGCAAACAACCAGAATGCTTACAGTGACTTGAGTAAGGGGAACTTTTCAAAACATTAGACTGCACGCGTTTAATATGCGTTTCGCTCTCATGTGGTTACATAAGTCTCCCACGAGTTGCGGATTTTTTATTGAGTGGGAATATGCTTTTAAAATAATCACCACGTATAGCTGCATAAATGAACTGATTTCCAAACAGTCTCCAGACTGTTTATTCTATTTTTCAGAGGTGCATAAATTACTAGTTAAAAAAAATCTAAGAAACTCGCCGCTTTAAGAAAACAGTAGCATCTGCGCTATTGTGACCTAGAAAGAAGATACTAGATAGTTTGATTTCAAGGCATGGAAGAATCAATTGTGTAAGAGTTGAGTAAAAGTACACAAGATAGAAGGCTGTTTACAGACATGACCACCAACGCCACGTGGCGTGGACTTGAAGGAGGAGAAGAAGATTATGAAGAAGCAGCAGCAGAAGAAGAAGAAGAAGAGGAGGAGGAGGAAACTCCTGACAATGTATAAGTTCTTGTTTTAGGTACAGTATTTGTTTATACGTCTGATCATAGCAGTCACTTAGACCCCCACCCACCCCACCATGTCTAGACTCCAGCTTGCTCTATAACCGCCGAGGACCCCCAATAAATTCTTACCGCTGAACGGAGTTCTGGGATTAGTACCTGGAGAGTTCTTATCCGAATAGTGACACTTTGCGTCAGTGTGGGGAAGAGAAGGGTAATCGATCAGTGTGCTGGTCTCAACTGCACTCATAATGATGTTTGTGTGTTTAAACAATGCATATGCCTTTGTGGCACATCCCCCCAAAGAGAATTAATAAAGGGACTAAGGCCCTTCACACACACCCCTCACATGTTTTATTTGTGTCGACGCCCTTGGTGCTGATCTGTCCAAGGCAACATAGGTCGGTATACACCACAGCAGTTATCTACTGGATAACTATACCGTGGACTTTCAGTTAGATTGTGGGGAGTGATCACTGCTGGGTAGTCACACATACGTTAACACCTATTTAGTGTCAGAAAGGACAGCGAGAGACAGATAGATAGATAGATAGATAGATAGATAGATAGATAGATAGATAGATAGATAGATAGATAGATAGATAGATAGATAGATAGATAGATAGATAGATAGATAGATAGATAGATAGATAGATAGATAGATAGATAGATAGATAGATAGATAGATAGATAGATAGATAGATAGATAGATAAAAAAAGTAGATAGATACACAGACGGATAAATACATAGATATATTGATACATAAAAAGACATATATAGATAGATATGTAGACAAATATATAGAGAGATGTATAGACATATAAATAAAAAGATATATGGAAAAATTGACAGATAAATAAATTCATAGACATAGGTAGACATATAGTACTGGGGTATTACATTCAGTGAGATAAGTGTCACTAAAGTTTATCAGTATTCTGTGCAACTTGCGAGACGAATTGTTACGATAGCCTAATTTTCCACAAGCACACGCAAATTATCACTCCTCCCTGGCAAGTTACAGCATGATAGTCGTGACAGCCAAAAAGACATGTTTTAGCGTTGCCTATCTAAAAACATGCCCCCCCCCCCCTCTCTCTACTCCTGGGGTTCTGCGTGGTGTCGAGGCATGGTGTCTGCCTCGAGTGCTAGATGTGCCGGGTTCAGTACCCGGTAAGGGCTTGGATTTTTTCACATGGACCTCGACTTCTAGTTATCCCCCCTGGTGAGATCGGATGCCCGTGTGAATTGTTGCGCACGTAAAAAAAATCAACTGGCAGTTGGAA